CTCCTAATAATAGCTGGAGAATAAAAAACTTTGGTTGCCAACCTACCCGCCAAATGTAGATGTTATAGCAAATATCATTACAACTTCTCACTACTATAAATATTTAATTGCGATTATAAATACATTCTAAAGGAAACAACGAAGAAAATTTTGATGTGTTGGTTATCAGTGCTTTATCTAAACGAAATATTTATTTCAGTGCATATATCAATAAAAAAGACAACGAATGGTCTGGCCTAGATTTCTTTTTTTACAGAAGTAAGGATATGAAACAAGCACACAGTCCACTTGATGTTATGTGGACTCTGTAACCCATAGACTCATAGGTCGACAAACAACCTTACTAAATTAAAAACTACACGCAGGGAATTTTCACAATATTTTATTAGGGTAATTTAAATAAGTCTAGAACTATCAAAGGGGATATCTTGATAGAAAAGATCCCAAAAGAAATGGAGAGTGAGATCAAGCTACAGAAGCAATAAAACTGACCCACATCTATTCTCGAAGTAATAAGATACAAATTGTAAATGTATTGTCACCACAGACAGAATGTTTTATTACCAGTAAAATTTCAGGTTTCTTTTATAAAAACTTAACGGTGACACACGAGCATAAAGTCCACTTGATGGGAAGTAGATGTTTCAGTCCACACTCTCGATGAAACATTAAAAGGTACATCCCTTGGAACCATTGAAGACTAAGATGAAATGCGTCATTGCCAATACAAATGGTCTCCGCATCTTGTCACTCACTATACATAACAAAGCAGCGTTTTGCAGCCATATCACGCTAGTATCTTGTGTGAACGTGCTCCTTCCTCATTGTAGTCGAATGTTATATTTTTATAAAGACTATTCTACTATTAGCCTGTAAGAGTTTCGATGCAGCTTATGAACTTACTTATGAGCTTCAACTTGGCGTTATATTATTTAAAGGTTTTGGTTTTTAATAAGTTTCAGGCTTTAGGTCCTGATAACCTGATCATATCTCTTTTTTCATAATGATTAATTGTATCTTTGGCTTTAAAAATGGCATAAAAACATGCAGAGGAATGTCATTTTAAATCTGTAGCGGACTTCGAGCCATATACAGTAACTTTGACTTAAAGTGATAGAGACAGCAGTTACTTAAAATTAGTAGGAAGCTAATTGAAGTGCATGATGTCTGAAAGATAAAGATATATTTATTTGCAAAAACATGTGTAGATAATAATACATTTATGTTTTTTTTTTTTTTTTTTTTTTTTTTTTTTTTTTTTGGGTTTTTTTCGGCCCCTTTTTGTTCGGATTATCACGTTAAGGTTATTGGTCTGAATTTTCTAATTTTGGATCAACATGTTTTACCAAAGTTTGTGTACAAATACGAAAAAATAAAAAGAATAGCTAGAACAGCTAATTAATTGGTAACAAAAGATATAATATCTACTAATTAATGTAATACAACATAAAATAATCCACTGTAATAAATGTCAATAATTTTTCCTATCAAAATTAATTATGCAATGACATTAACAATACAATGAATGATATTAGCAATTGTTTTATATTCATAGAGATTTTTCGCTAAGGAAGTCATTAACATTGTAATAGCTTTTTGCAGTCAATATTTTTAAGTGTTTTCTTAAATAGGCCTGTATTTAATTGTTTAATGTCACTTGGAATTTCATTATATATTAATGGAGCTTTGCATACTACACTCTTACGCGGTAGCGCCTGGTGAACACATAGTCTATTGTTATCTCGGCGATTACATTTTACATTATCTGATACGTGAGGAAACAAGTGTAGGCTACTTCTAACAGATAAAGCTATTTCCAATATATATAGCGACAGAAGTGTAAGAATTTTGTGTTTAATAAATAATGGCTTACAGCTCTCCGTTCTTTGAATACCGAACATGGCCCGTATGCATCGCTTTTGCATTTTAAATGTCATGTTTGTGTTTGTTGAGTTGGCCCAAAAAATTATACCATAAATGAAAAAACTAAATTTTAATTAGTTGCGTCGGAAACTAAGGATTTATTTAATTACCTATTTACTTTCATATCTGTTTATCCAAGGTTAAGATAAAATGTAAAGCGCTCGCATCCGTGGACCTTACAAAGGGCGTCCTGGTTAAGTAAGGCGATGTGTCAATTATGAAAATGCGCGTAAAACGCATGAAATGTATGCAACAGGGCCAGCGGGTGTCGAGAAGACCACGTGAACAATGCCAACGACAGTCTCATGCATATTCATAAATCACCGCCTCAGGAACTGGGGGACGAGATTAAACGAATATATTAAGATAATTACTAAAGTTTTGGACTTCGTCGTCCTACTTTTCGCGTATGTGGGTTGGATTAAAATGTTCTACAAAGTAATTCATCTGTCATGATGGAAATAAGGTGAAAGATTATAAGGTGCAGCTCGCTACACATTTATTAGCTATGATTTTTTGTTGTGTATTTTCCTTTTTATTTTTAATCAGATCATTGTATTAATAACAATAAAAAAATTACAAATAGGAAGATATCTGCAACGTTGTTTTCGCCGTGCGTTCTACGGGCAGAGGAACATCGTTTTATAATGGCATGTTGTTATTTGACATAGGATATTTTCATTTCATTGAAGATTTAAAACTACCATCAAGAACAGACATTGATCATGAGCTATGGTGATTCTGGTGAGAATAATTTCAGATTGTTCAGACGTTCGGTCGTGGGCGAAAACTGAATTATAAAATTCAATCACGTACATGCATACATACATACGTACATAAATACGTACATACATTCGTACATACAAACATGTCAAGTCAATAAAAGCATCTTGAAAGGCGCAAACAGCGACAAACTTGAGATAGGCGCCAAGATTGATACTTTTGTTAGGGTTCCGTGCAATAAATGGTAAATCTCGGTGTCCTTTTGCGTGTTCGTTTGTCACAAGAAGTTTTTTTACAAAGAGATTTAAATTTGCCGTAACTATATAAAATATAATAATAAAGTACTGTTACCACAATGCTGACGTTTTTGTGGGACATAAAGTGTTTTTTTTTTGGGTAAATTTGTTCGCAATTAATAGGTCTTAAATTTTCCATCGTCCGTCATTTATAGGTGTCGTAAGAGATAACTGTGGGAAATATCAGGAGGATTTAATGGCCTCCGATTGATAGTGATATAATTATGTCTTATATTTATACATATTATGCTATAAAATTGACGTATCTGTTAGGAGTGAGGCGTATTTATCGTAACAGATAAAAAAAAGTATCATAAAATAGCAGACTGTAACTGTGACAAACGAACTGAAAGAACAGCTCCTGTTCCACGAAATAACAAGTCCACAGAGACAGCCACAAGTTTTTCTTGTGTTGCAACAGTTGTGACAAGCTTGTCCTTTTCTCACATAGGTTCAAGAACTTAGTTAGAAAGAGAAGCACCTACCAGGATTGTAGTAACAGACTACTATTTTGAACATGCTGAACAGATATGCGATTTTACCTGGTACAGCTTACTACTAGTATCTGTAATATCGAAATAACTGTCTTATATTGAACCGAGGTATTAAATCTATTTGCATGCCAATAAGATATTAATATTTTTTTTAAATTTTTGTCTGCCTGCCTGTTTTTCTACTCGCAATATTGTTCGGAATGATTGATTCAAATGTAATGAAACTTCACGGACTGCTAGGAGGGTTGTAAAACTTGGAGATTTATCAAAAAAATAGCGAGAATTAATGAAATAAATGGTCTTTGAGGATCTTAAGTCTAAATAATGCCACATTAATAGATCCTACCAGGCGAGACCGGGGCAAGTTGCTAGTCAGATATAAAAAAGTTGAGAGCAGTGCCAAAGGTACGAAGCGTTTGGTATTGCGATCGAAAAACCTAATGTCAAGCGTAGTATTATTACAAATCCACCGTACAGTTAGAAAGGCCAGATAGAGAGCGGACTATTGTGGCCTGAAAAGGGAGAATTAGACGTCTATAGTAACAGTTCTTTTCGTCCCAATACGTTTCGCCTTAGTGTTTCCGACACCCACCCAAGACCGTCCTTACGTTGATGTTATTTTACCAATTAAGTGTTGTTCCGATGACCACCAGCCGATACAGCCTGTTAAAGTCCACTGCTGAACACAGGCCTCCCCCATAGATTGCCTCATGGGGGGGGGGGATATTTTGCATAGTTCTCACGCTTGGCAAGCGGATTGGTAACCGTATTTTTTTTTACTTTATTTGTTATTAGGTGGCCGTGCTGCCCATCTCCTGAATTCTTTCTCTCTATCGCCTCTCACAACACCCACGGTATCATTTGAGGTAGTGGATATTGTTACACATCCACTACATGGTATAAAGTGTTGTATGTGTGTAAATAATTGAAGAAAACTGGCTACGGGTTACGAAACTAACGAACAAATCACTATTGTTTCTATCAAAGCAATTGTATTGATTGATCTTATACACTAAAAAACTGAACTAGAGCGACGTAAATGAAGTGAATTGTGGAGAAATCGAATGATTGAAGAGAAAACATCATTCGCACTGAACCAGATCATGCAGATTAAGTAATAGTTGAAAGGTAAAAGAAATACGACGGTAATAAGTTTCCTGACAATTATACTTCCTTCCAAATAGAAAACGCAATACTAATATAGTCAAAGAGATAAGTACGCCAGTTATTAATAAAAACGTGTCAGTCATTACCCATCTAGTTACACAGGAATAAGGTTGAAAATTGGTTGAATTTGATAACTGGATCATTCGCGTTGACCGCTTGAATGTCAACTCGGCCGCCGTTATCTGTTGTACGCAAATGAACCCAATAAAATATCCAAAATTCTTAATGACGCCTGATACGCTATCAGGGGTCAAGCTCTCGGTTGCACAACACAAACCCCTTCCGTTACACTTCGGACAGAGATAAGTGTCACCTTGTTCTTACGTCGCTGATAAGTTACGCCTTTTACTAATGTTTTGGTTACATCTTATGCTGTGGAGATATCTTTGTGGCTGCATTGCCGGTAGTGGTGGGGAGTTTTGAATAATTTTAATTAATCTAGCTACGGTTTAAAAAAATGCTTTACCTAAATTTAAATTCGCACGCACGCACGCTCTCACGCACACATGCACACACACGCATACACGGACGCACGCGTTTCATTTAGTATAGGTATTTAAGTGTTACGAAAGACCATGGAGGCTGCCTGATACAAGTATTTTATTACACTTTCTAGGTTTTCCCAACCTATGTTATGTTATATGTTTTGTTATTATCCCTTACCTATAGTCTTGAGTCCACATGACCCGCCTTTTTTTCTATGGCAATCAAATAAGTTATGTCAATTTTACATTTAACATTATATTGAGACATTAACAATCGCAGTATCAAACAAAATCAACAGTAGAATTTTTTATTGCCATCTGTAATTGCACTTAATCAAATCAGTTGTAATTTACTTAACTACATGTTGTCGAGAAATATTTATAAAAAAATACAAAAGAAAACCCGAATTTAACTTTTTCTTGAATAATACTTTTAAAGGATCGCACCAAATCTTAAAACTTATTAAAAAAGGCATTATAACCTGGCGTTAAAACATGAACATAAGGGTTGATAAAAAAATTATATTTTAGATTTTAGTTTCTTTAATTCATCATTCCTCGCCAGCCCTTTTAAGCCCACTGCTAAAGCGTTCCAAAACTATGCCACATGGCATGTACTTCTTGGTAGATTTGCTCCACTGGGCAGGCACGTTGGTGGACGAATGTGTTGAGGGTGTTAGATACACCGAACAATCACCACTAATCTGGATCGATATGCCGAGTTTCTCCGACTGGGATCAAAACTAATGTCTACGTCTAATAACTGCAAACATTTTTCCATTGAAAACAAATTTGTTTCAGATTTACAAAGGCCTAGACATCGTCACCGCCAAAGCAAGTCGTCAGGAGCGCGAACTCGTCAGACACCACCTCTTGGATATTTTAGAGCCGAATCAGATGTTCACTGTCGTCGATTTTCGTAACAGAGCTCTTAAACTCGTATCCTTTTATTGAAATTCCTAATTTATGTTTTTTTTTAAGTTTTTCGGTACCAAAATACATACTTGCGTATTTTTATGCAACAATTTCTTCAACCCATCTCAATTCCATTGCTGAATATTGTCCTTTATAAGTATACGTTATGTTAACACTTATTTAATAATCTTTTTTGAATAATCCAATCCAAAATGCGTTATCACCCTTGATAAATAGGAAGGAGTGCCTTGTTTCAAAGTAAAAGGGGTCCTTAAGGGGGCGTTAAGCTGCTATTTAACGCTGGTATTCTGTGTGAGCATGTTCCTTACCCGGTAGAGTTGAACCGGTCGTGTTGTTTTAGCATGGCTCTACCAAGTAAACCATGTTTTTCACATGTGTTTGTCAATAATATTATAATAAAATATTTTAAAAACACTGACAAAAATTTCTATTTATTAAGTTGTTTTATGAATCGAATATATGACGCGATCACCTTCGAATGACTATTACGGATTTTTTTCTTGGTCGTTTACCGCATAATCCGCTTAGTACTGGACTATGTCTCTCAGCTGTCGACTAATTGCCCTAAATTTTACTTTTACATCGCTTGTGTAGTTATCATATACCACACAGAAGTAACATAACTAAAAAATCCTGTTGAACTATTTACGTATAAATTAGTAAAATTCCTGTTATCTGTCTGTCAGTTTCACCTAATTTATCTTCATCATCATCATTAAATCAATATTTTTATAGATTGTATTAAATTGTTGGAATAAATTACCTCCATATATTAGGAAACCGACTTTTGGTGCTTTAAGAGATCTTTAAGAGAATGTTGTCTGATCATTCATTACCTTTCTTCTTCCAGCAGCTAACTTTCTATAAATATTTCCGCGTATGTATTGCTCGATATTACAATTATTTAAGTCGATTTTGTATATTATATGCTTATGTATGTTCGTATTATTTATTATTGACATATATTAAAAATTGCATGTGCTATGTATATGGTATAGAGTATATTATTTAGGTTATTTGTAGTTATACATATATTTATAAGTGTACTGTATGGTATGTATGTTTTTATATCTATAATAACGTATACATTTTTATAAAGTCATGTAAAAATCAGTTTCATTTAATGTGGAGTTTTCGCGTAAATATAAGAAATCATTATGTGAACCACGAACTGGTAATAGCAAATAAAATTCGCCGATTAGAAGATATTAAGACCAAGCGTGCAAGATTTGCGATCTTTAAATTTCTTAAAGAGATGCATAGAGCATAATCTCATTCCTACGTGTGCCATAATATCAACAAAAAAAGACGATCGATAAAGCGCTAAGATCTTAAATCAGGCAAGTAAAAAGTTGTTAACCATAACGCGATGAAATCCATAAAAATTTGTAAAAAAAATTTTACGGCTTTCTCCGCTTAGCTTGTGGTTGACTGGTAGAAAATACCTAAAGGCATTAAGTCCATCAATTGTACACTTTATGAGCTATTAAGATTTTTAAATAAAAAAATAATAGTATAAAGTAAACAAGCTTTATAAACTAAACAAGCTTTCTTAAAGTTCTCAGAAACTTATCTATATTTGTCAAGTTGTTTCCGTAGGTTTTGGAGACTTGTCATATCTTCGAATTGTTTTTATTTATCAGACGTCAAAGAAGTTTTCCATCGCCTGATGGCAAGTAACCTCTTGAAATCCTGTAGACACCTATAGTTGACAATAAACAAATAATGCAATAGATAGAATAGTTAAAATATGCCTGCTTTCTGCACACACTACATCACACAGTCTCCAAGATATTTGTATGATAAGATAGCCGTTTAAAAAAAGTTTGCTTTCAGAGAAAAATGTCCCAGGATTAGACTCGCTGAAGCGGGGGGGGGGGGGGGGTTAAATTTAAATTAAATTTTCCGTCCCTACTCCATGTGACACTCCTTCAAATTGAAGAACGTTTTTTGTATTTTAGTAACTATAATTTATTTATTGGTTTATTTAAAAAACTATTTATTTTTTTGTTACACGAGAGTTTCATCAATTGCCTAAGACCCTGTATTGTCAACGCGCAAAGGCTGTGGCAGAATAGTAAGAGTAATGGATTTCCTGTTACAACTGACTCACAGACCATTTTGTCACAACTAATTATTAAGCTGTCCATTAAAATTTTAACATTATATTTATTTGTGGCAAATAAATACTTTTTATTTTAATTTTTGTCATTTTATGTAACGTTGTCACTATTCAGAACTCTCGTTACTTGTAATTATAGTCTTAAGACTGAAACAAGACAAAAGATGCTGCTGATTAGTTACAGATATAAGTAACTATCCAAATGAACTCTTAAGCAATATTGTGATTGTGAGATTGAAATCGTGTTATTTGATTTATTGGATAATACTGAAGCGACTGTCCAACCTCTAAGTTATAACTTATAGGTTGGTAATTTGGAGATTGAAGTTGAATATTTTCCTTCATCATTCTTTACCCATTTTTCAAAAGACGACTGCTGAACATAGGTTTCTTCTTCAGATTTCCTCGTAGATAGTGTTGACAATACTTACTTAGATTGTAGCATAGGGTTTTTTTAATAATATGCAGGTATTGAGTTGTTATCACAAAGATGCTGCTCTCCATTTCCTGTATCGATTTTATTTTGTTGCCTTTTGCGACATCCACCGGAAGATATAGGATAGTGAATTCCCTTTCGCCACAACTACACTGCATTTAAATAACAATTACCTTAATGATATATCAGATACAAAATTTAACGGAAAGAGGGAAAATTCCGATAATTGTCGGCGGCACAAATTACTACATCGAATCTATTGTATATAAAATTCTTGTTGAAGATATGGATGACTCTGATGCTCTGTTATGGGATAAAAGTAAAAGAAAGCGAGATTTTGACGTTGATGAAGAAAAAGAAGAGGTACAAATTAAGAAACGTTCAACAGACGGTAGCGATACAAAAAGAGAAATTTCGGTAGGTGAAACTAGCGAATTAAATGTGGTGAAGTCTGATGATGTCGATAAAGAAAAGTTGAAAGACGATATCGATAACGAAAAAAAATTCACCAATGAAGAGATTCACGCGAAACTTAAAGCAATAGATCCAGTAATGGCTTCACGACTTCACCCGAATAACAGAAGGAAGGTTCTAAGGTAAGTGTTGTGTGCTATGTCTACTTTTTACATTAACCTGGCTCGTTTATATAACGATATGCATATATATATTGTAAATGCAATAAATAATATATCCAAATCTATTTAACTAGTTCTAAGGTAAGTTTTAATGTGTCCACTATTACAGTCCTCGTTTTTAGCGGTGCTAGCAGAATATACATAATTGGGATTAGATGCAATTTAGAAAGAGTCTTAACCATAATTTCCTTACAAAGGATGTATTTTATTACATATTTTGAAAAAGTAGTAAGGCTTCTTATATATATTTTTTTAAATAAAATTCGTATATATAGCTCATAAATTTACATAGATATTTCAATTTTTATACACTTGGTGGAAACTTTAAATAGTAGATGATTATATATTTACTTTTTTAATTTCAGTTTACAGTTATATTTTTATGTTTATTAAATATTGGTTCGCTTGACGAGGGCGTACTCGCATCTCACAAGAAATGTTTAAGTTAGATTATTAAATTCGGTGATTGTAAGTTTCGAATATCTTTGCGAAAGATAAAAAATAAATATTATTATCATATCTTTAACGATAAGTCGTCGAAATATAACGCGCAAATTAAAGACTACTCGTATTTTAACCAACAGTCAGTGCTTGTTACTACAGAAATCATTTGCGTAGATTAAACACTTCTAAATATAATATCTTATAATATAATATTAGGATCTTATACTACTAGCGAAAATAAATAAACGCTTACCTAGAAACCACGAAGTCTTGATCTAGGCGGATAGATAGGTAAAATTTAAACATGCGACGAAATCTTTTACAAAACAAAAATGGAGCCATATTGAGCTGGATCTTGGGGCCTACCAAAGATTACGTGAGTTTATTGAATTTAAAAAACATCCTTTGTGGCATTACTTGGGGGAGGCCTATGTTCAGCAGTGGACTTGTGAAGGGCTGTAATGATGATGATGATGATGAAAAAACATCCTTACTTCAATAGAGGAGGAGGCTAGGTACTACCACCTGCTTGGGATCCTGTAATTTATAAAATTAAAACTAAACCCAAGCATACAACTGCAAGACTCTAAGACAGTAAGTTCATTCTACGTAGATCGTAGCAAAAGTAATAATTAAAAAGCTGAAGGTTCTTTGGGTTAACTTTGACCTGGCCTGCAAAGTATCCGAAACATAGACAATTAAAGATAAGTAGAATTGAACGTGTTGTTTCAATGTGTATGTGGAAGAAAAGCAAACGAGCGTACGGTTCACCTGATGGTAAGTGACTACCGTCGCCCATGAACAACTACCAGAGTTATGTGTGTCCAGCTTTTTAGAAAGGAGTAAGTTTTTTTTTTGAAGGTCCGTAAGTCGTATCGGGTAAACAATTCTACATAGGGGTCATATAAGGAAGAAAACTCCCAGTAAAACGTACAGTGAGTGACCGCCAATGTCGTATGTAGTAGTATGGCGTGAAGTATGGCGGCTGGAATCAATTCGAATAATTTCTCAGAACACTGCCCGTTGCAGATGCGATAGAAGATGTTAAGGCATACAACATCTCTTTGCAGCGCCAGAGGATCGAGCCGATCGGAGAGGACTCGGTTGTCGACGAGCCTATGGTAACCCTCATTTCGCACATGGTGTTTATTCTATGAATTAAGGCAATGTTCCGTCAGTGACTCGGCGTCAGTATAACTGGTAGCAAATTTAATTTATTAGATGTTTTATATTTTGAGCCCTAATACGTTGTAATATGAGACTCGTCACCTGCTTCATCTTATCAGAAGCAGATCTTATCCGATGCAAGTATTGTCTAGTCTATTGAAATATTTCTTTTGTTGTTTTAACCCTTTTGTTTCCTGTTAGATACTTGACAATTTTCTTCAAGATTTGTGTCCAGCCATCATTGCTCGTATCGTATCGCTCGTGCGTATCCATACGTGTCTCAAGTTTTCCTTTTTTTATTAAAGAACAAGTGGTAAAATTTAAATTTTGTATAACCGACTTCAATACGACGGAATTAATATATTCGAAGTCAATTAAGTACGTATTATTAAAGATAACTCAAAATCTTCTGGTCAGATCTTGATTAAATTTATATGGGACCACTCTAGAAGCACTAGCGTTCCCCCAGACAACAGTTAAAAGGTAAAACACAAAAAAAAACATAAAGTCGAATTGAATACCTCTTCCTTTTTGAAGTCGGTAAAAATATTAGCAATGCTCATAACATAACTAACATTCCCTTAAACGGTTCCCAGTTTCCGGTTGTGTTATATCATCCTGATTGAATCTCTGCCACCGTATCCTCCTATTGCACAAGCATCTCAAAGATTGTGAATACTGTACAGGAAACAGTTATTATTGTTTTTATGTTAACAGAAGAGGTGATATAAATTTTACTTTGTGAAAGGAGTAAATTTACAAGAAGAGATACCGAATTGTATAATTAGAGCTATGGTCAGGGTTCGATCCCGGCAACAACGAAATTGTTAATTCCAATTTTTAGCATTCATATACCTCTTGCTTGAAGGTGATGGAACATATTTGAGACACCAACATGTCTGAGAAATAGAAATATTCTGTGGACACGTCAAGTCCCGACACACGAGCAGTGCAGCGAACTATTTGTTCCAAAACCGTGTTAGAATTTTATACGTCTTTGGTTAGAAAATGACGATGGTCTGTGTTTTACAGTGGGATATATGAAGGCCGTAAATTCACTACTTTCTGTAATTTTAAATATATCTAGATGTGACGTTACATAGATACACAAAAACAATTTAGAGGCAACTTTCACTAGAAACGCCAATTAAAATAAATGGATTTGTTTATATTTCTGCTCGAAGGATCGAGGGAGGTTAATTTAAACGAAGAGGCTTTTCACCGGTAACGAGAAATTTTAACTTAGTTCGCATTGGTGACAACTAGCGGCCTGCAAGGCCGCGAGCCCTGAGTCAGATGAAGCTGTAAGAGTCGCATAGACTAACAGCACTAACATCTAGATACTAGATAGATTGGTGACAATGCATCTGCAATTTGATCCTTAATCTTTATATACAAATAAATAAAATTAAAGTGTCTGTTGGTAATGTCAAAATAACATCTTTTACTAAATGCATTTGAAAGTATATATGGTTACTGTAAAAAAAATCAATAAAAACATTTTTTCTTTGTCTGTCGGTCTGTCTGTTTGTTCCGGGTAATCTCCGATGCTATATATAGAAATAAGTTATATATATAGAAATAAGTTATATATATGGAAATAAGTTATATATAGAAATAAGTTAGGCTACTTTTATTTTTAAAAAAACAATTTGGGTTCCGCGCAAAAAAATTCAAAACCCAGTAAATCAAAGCTTAATGAATTCGGCTTAATGAAATGGCTAGTCGAGTATAAAATTAGATGACCATTACCATCAGGTGGACTGTGTGCTCGTTTGTCGCCGTTAATATATAAAAAATAAGGAGAATAAGTAAATAATATATATTTTTTATCTTAATTCGATTAGAAAGTTACGTCGTATAATGCATTGCATATAAACTTGTTTCGTTGTTAACAATATAGCAGCTTCTATGATTATTTGATGGGTTCGATAGACATTAATGTAGTCGACAGAACATCGCCAGAACTTGTTCGTGCGATTTACATAAATATCAAAATGGAAGGTCGTATCGCATGATGACATAAAGCCGTCGGCCATTCCGCAAGGTCTTCCTCTTCGCGCGGTGCTCAAAGAATATTTACTAAATAGGGGGCAATGTGAGAATTGCGGGGGCTCACTTAGAGCTGGTCGATTTAACTTCCGCGGGTCTCTGACCGTAGCCAAGGATTTCGTAGATATCTTTATGTATGTGTATTATGTGACCTTGGCTTTACTATCCGACTTTAGGGTGACCATAACTTGCTTTATACGATGGATATTTTTATTAATAAAATACTTGACTGTATAAAGATTATCTCTTGTTGTATGTCGTAATAATATTTTAATTTTAATGGAATTTTCTGAAAACGCCAATAGTCAAAACTTATTAACACATACATAGAGTAGTGTTATAAGTTATCTACGGTCCAGCCTTTATGAATGAAACAATCTGCCAAATAATAATTTATAAAGAATTGAAGCGACCAGCGACAGTAGCCTAATTGTAAGGTGTGGGCCCCAAACTCAAACATAAGCACACCTGAAGTGTTTAATGGGAATATTTAGTTAAAAAATAATAGCATTCCTGATATTACTTTTTTTTAAACACATAATATTCATTCATTCGTAATACTTTGATTAAAAATATTTATTATATTTATCATCATAATGTAGGTGTTTCTCGAGTCCTCTACTAAACAGACAAAAGAATTCCACAAAATGTGTTTAAACATTTTTGTGAAGTTCTTATTTTTTTATACAAGAGGTGCAAACGAGCACACGGCTCACCTGATGGCCGGTGATTACCGCCGCCCATGAACAACTCCAACACCAGGGGAATTGCAGATGCGTTGCCGGCCTTTTTAAAAAGTAGTAGGCTCTTTTCTTGAAGGTTTCTAAGTCGTATCGGTCCGGAAAAGTCTCTGGTGGAAGTCGATGCCACAAGGAAGTTATGCAATTAAGAAAACTTCTTTTGAATCGCACGGTGTTGGACCGCCAGTCATCCAGATTGTATGGATGATATCGCGAGTTTTGTCTTAACATTGGTTATAGGATTTCTACAGAGTCAGTGTTTTAATAAATATTAGTTAATATTTACTTAAAGTCAACGTAAAGTGTTCTTAAATTTAATTTATGCTATAAAAGTAACATACATATTATAATATTACATTATATTACTCCTTAAGAACTATAAAGACAATTTAAACACAACAAAGAATAAATCTATCCCCATTTCATCCCGTGGGTGTTACAAGAAGGCACTATGCGAAATACTAAAACAAAAAACTTTATGACCCAGATCAGCGTCGGACAGAAGCGTCACAGGTGTTTGGCACTGCGATAGTCAATTTGCGCGTCAAGCGCGACCGATTAA